GCTGATTCCAACAGAGGCCAAAGCAAATGGCCATGGCATTCTCATAGGCAGAGGTACGCCCTCAGCATGATGTGACCAAACACATTGGGGTTGGACTTCACCCACAGTCTGGGCTGATAATTTGGTGTCACAAAAGCAAACCAGCCCTTGCTTCCTTTGAAGGAAATGATCCTCATCCCCACCATTCTTTGGAGTTGACGGGAGAATTCCTTGACAAGCCCGAATCCAGCTTGATGACAAATGGCATCTGGGATCCTCTCCAACCCGCTTTGAAACTGAAAAGGAAGACAAGGAAGACAATCTTCCATCTCCAAGTCCTCATGAAAAAAGCCACCCGTTGGCGTTAAAGGCAGAACAGAGGCCCCCAGGGCAAGTCCAATGCAGTCAAACAAAGTGCAGATCTTGTTCATGAAAGTTTTGTAAGCAGAAAAGAAGTCCCCAAAGGACAAAATCCTGCAATCACAAGTTACCAAGGTCCAAATGTCATTCACCCCCAGTCTCACGCAGATGTGGGTGAACTTCATTCATGGATTCAACTTGAGATCCCAATATACCATCTCTTTTAGCTTAGCTGGCAAGTATGCCTGGCCAAACTGAAAGGACAGTCCACTGATGCCATACTGAAACAGAATTGAGAATTGACAACCTTAGTAAACAAAAATCTTCGGTCATTGAAAATCTCTTCTCACCTGAAATAGTTGAATCCGCTTGCCAGCAAACAAGTGGCTAAAGTCAGACATTGGCCTCATCAAAGCCCAGTGGGTCACCACGTGAGTCCCGTATGCATCCTCTTTGGCCAAAAGACGCCAATTCATGATCAAAGAATCACCAATGAAAAAAAACCATTGGCATATTGTCCTCTGGGAACCAAAGATCCACCTCAAGTGGAAAGTTAGGAGACCCGTGCCTCCAATCCTACACCAGACATCCGGGTAAGGGAAGCGGCACTGGTCCAAATCTCTCCAAATGTTGCGGTTGGATACCCAACTGCTGAGCCACATTCCAACAATAGGCCACTGGGTCCTTGGTCTCAAAGCTGCAAGACAAGAAGAACACGGCCAGATTCTCTGAAAAGGGACAGATGAAAAGAAAACCATGGATGATCATTAACAAACTCAGTACAAAAACTGATAGTCTCAGTGAAAGGAGAACATACCATCAGTATAAGGCCGCCATACAGGGGCCAAAATGCCAATGCTTGTTTGGGTTGCTCTTCAAACCCATCCGCTGGTTTGGCCTGAGCTCCTTCAGGCTGCTGTTGATGCCTAACTCCATCAGCTGCAGGTCTCACGGATTTGAAATGATGACTGGATGACAACTCTCCCCCTGGTGGAGGGAGTTTGAAGCCTCCAGATGATGATGACTCAGGCCTGACAACTCAGCCAACATCTTCAGCTTTCAACCGCATCAAGCGGTTGAAGGTCAATCTTGCAAACTCAAAATTCCAACTCAAATAGTTTCCAAAGATCATCCTTGGATCAAAGCTTGAGCCAAATCAGGTGTCCTTCTTCTTGGATTGTCACAAAAGTGACACCATCTGGAAAATTAGAAATCAACAACCATCAAATCAAAATTTCTTACAAAACTCAAAGCTAACACAATTACCTCTCATGACAATGCGACATGCATCACCAACCTCCATCAAGTAGGGAGAAGGATTCCGCAAACTCAAGACAAAAGCCGAGTGACTCAAACCAAGGATTTCATCAAAGTTTGAGTTATATGCTTCACGTTGAATCTCTGCCTCTTGCCGCGCAAGGTTCAAAAGCACTGAGCAGAGACAATTTGTTTGCATGCTCTCCTAACAATCCTTGTTCAGTCTTTGATCCTCTTGGGCCAAGTTGGAAAGCAATGACAAAAGTTCATCAAGTCATTGTCTCGTCTTTGAGATCTTATTCTTGCATTCTCAAATATTGGCATCAAAGCCCCGCTTGGTTGACATGGCAACACAACAATTATGGACTGCTCCTGAAAGGTCCAGAAGATGCACCCACTCCTCTTTGGAGAGCCCGTTCAGGGCAACAACCTTTTCATACAGGCGCAACCGAATGCCAAGTTGAATTTCAAGAGAATCTTCAACAATGGCCACGCCCAATGCTTCACTGGTGCGTCCTGTCGCTGACAGCCCAGAGGCTTCCCCTTCAAGATGTAGATCTCCGAGGTCTGAGCTGACTGTCAAAGTGGCAGGAGCAGCCTCCTCCCAAGAAGGAACCTCCAGCAAGGGGGGCTCTTCCTTGTTGATATCTACAAGTTACACAAAACCATACCAGACTTTTAGTGAAGAATTCAAAGAACCTTAAAACTTTGAACAATCAAACACAAAGTCCTACTTACCAAGAATAAGCTCCTTGTCAGATGCGCTAGACAACATTGTATCAGAATCAACATGAAACAACACTCTCTCCATTATTTTTTTGTTGGAGGCAAGGTTACTCTGTCAGTTCTCAAAGAACTCAAACCACTTGTTCAATCCTTGAAGTTTATCCTGAAGAAAATCAAAAGCTCAATGCAAATCTCAAAACCAATAATGAAAAGAAGGGTACACCTCAAAAACAACACTGCAATGGCCCTTTGAAGGAGTCCAAAGCAAGGCCCAACCAAAGTCTATCTATAGAACTTCTGGCAGGAGCTTACTAGAGGACTCAACCTCAAATTCTTGAAGCAAGAAAGAATCTTGAAGCACTAAAAGAACAATCACTCTTGATGCAATTACTGCACAACAATCTCTCAAAGAAGTTCCCTAAAATGGACCCTGACCAAAGCCAATCAGAACAAAACTTCAGGGCAAGGTTTGTTAAGGGAACTCAACCTCGAGACGAAACACTAAAACACTGAAGGAAACTTCTCTTGAAACAAAAGACTGTCAGCACTTGCGCAAAAACTTTGCTCAAAGCAAAAACTAGAAAGAAAATTCCTGCCCAAGAAAAGGCATTGTCCCTACGTGACAGCCTCAAAGGCATATCTGCAACTGATTTGAAAGTGAGAATCAAACCTCCCCTTTTAAGGAAATCAGAGATGAGTAATTCCACCTCCTGGGAAACAAGAAGAAAATAACATCATAAACCGCCTAAGCCGGTGAATCATTTGTTTTGAAACTGCACTCTCTCCGTGAGTTAACCAAAACAAACGTTTTGGTTAACGTTTTGGTGGATTCTGTCAGGAAAAGAGGGGGTGACAGCTGCTGAACATTTGAGAAAGTCCTTGGCACCCCAGAAAAATAGAGATGACCATCCCATCTCTGATTTATATAGGACGTAATATCACCGTTACACGATGTATATTATTAGATTTATTGAATCTGTAACTCTAACAAGAATTGAAGTGAATCTTTCAAGATATTGTGTTGGAATAATACCATGGATGTGAGCAAGTCTACATATTGCTGTATGTTTGGCGCAGTTGTTATGGCTGTGGGCTCCAAGTTGTGGGGTTGCGGTTCAAATCCCCAGCAGGTTTATTGTTTATTCATGTCTTTCCTTTGAGTGTGCATGTGTATGTGTGTTTGTATGTCTGTGTATCTTCCTGTACTGCCAAATTCAAGTGTGTGTTCCATCTCCTGTGTGCAGTTGTATATATCCATTGCATTTGTCCAAATATAAATTTTTTAAATTTTTCAAATACTGCAATGGTGCTTCCACAGTTAAGACAATGTTACTGCAGTGTTCAGGCACTGCAATAACACTGTAGCCCAGTGAATGCAGTGTTACTGCAGTTTTATCACACTGCAGTAATGCTGTTAACATGCATCTATGCACCCTGCATTCACAATGCTAGTACACAGAGATATAATCAGACATATAAGTCAGTGTGTTGTGATTGCAGCATCATCACAGTGTCATAGCTTTGTCATAGTTATGCCATTGCAGTGTCATAACTTTGTCATAGTTATGCCATTGCAGTGTCATAGTTTGTCATAGTTAGGTCATTGCAGCATCATTGCAGTGTCATAGTTAGGTCATTGCAGTGTCATAGTTAGGTCATTGCAGTGTCATAGTTAGGTCATTGCAGTGTCATAGTTTGTCATAGTTAGGTCATCGCAGCATCATTGCAGTGTCATAGTTTGTCATAGTTAGGTCATTGCAGCATCATTGCAGTGTCATAGTTTGCCATAGTTAGGTCATTGCAGCATCATCGCAGTGTCATAGTTTGTCATAGTTAGGTCATTGCAGTGTCATAGCTTCATCATTGTTATGTCATCACTGAGTCATTGCTTCAAAGTTGAATGTCATTGCAAAGCATTGCTTTGCACAATCAGAGATAAAAATAAGGTCATGGTACATTGCAAGTTGTCTGTGATGGCCTGTTATATTAAATATTATCATTGCAAACTTTAAGCAATGTTGAGCTAAATTTGAAATGTGGGTATAGTTATATATACAGCAGTAAGCATTGCTGCTTTATGCTGCTATATATATATATGGAGCAATGACCTTTAGGGTTGTTTCCAGAATGGATGTGCAATGGGTTTCTGAACGCATTGTGCAATGGTGATTCAAAGGGTGGGGGGGGGGGGTGGTATGGTTGCACGCGCGCGGGAGACAGGGGTTGTTGGCAACGCATGCCAGCATGCGTTTCAGAACAACCCCCGGAATGACTGCTCCCCCAGCTGTTTGACAGTGACCAAATGGCTGTTAGCCCAACATTTGGGTCAAAACAGCTTCCCAATGGAGTTGCAACAGCAAAATTATTTGCTGGGTATGGCTGTCTGGCCGTTACTGTATAACCATTGTAGGGAGGGAATGCTGTGGAAAATTTGAGAATTGAGGCACATGTCAAAAGTCTGATGAGAAAGTTTTTAACATTTTCAAATACAGCATTAAAACATGAATTTTTTGAGGAATCAGAAATTGGAATCTTTTTTCCCACAAATTCTGGCTGTTAGGTAAGATTTGGAGGGCTTTTGTCGTGATCCTTGGTGGCAGCGTATTCCTCTGCGGAATTTCCAAAGCTTCATACACTCATGTACACCTTCATCCTCATTGATACACAAATGTCGAAAATTTGAAGATTGATACAGAGGAACGGGTTATCTTGCATTTCGGACCAATAGAACATCCGCACATACCGAAGCAAAGCCACCGCGCCAATAAAAAATCGACGATTTCAGCCAAAAAAAGGAAAATACAGCAGGAGTATATAAACATATCTAGGAAGAATAAACAATTCATGATGCTCCCCCTCTTCGGTTATCACACATTTTCTTTTGCTTCCCCGAAAGTCGTCGATATACGTGGGGAAAAATCATTTGGTGATACTTGTACGCTTGATATGTAACAAGGCTTCAGAAAGGAATGTGCACTATGTGTTCGAGCTCTATTTGTTTCGTCAATTGTAACCTTTCAACTTCCTGTGACAAACTGACGATGCTAGAAGCGGGGTAAAATTTGAAAAAAGTGCAATGCATATTTAGTTTTTTCCCCTAGCAAAAATCGATTTGCCGTAGGTACACGAAGCGGATTGAATACCAATCTCATGCAGAAATCTGTATCACGCGTTCCTTCTGCATCGGTTTCTGTTCATCACATTTGCGAAATCAGAAATCACACCTTGTATTTATCTCTTTTTTTTCGGCCCAGGCCCAATGAAGCATATAGCAGAACCTTTTTCTGCGGATAAGCGATGCAATCGTGGAGCATGAATACATTCAGGACACTTCGAAAAGCATGTTTGGCAGTAACATGCCTGTACTCAAAAATTATATGGCGGTTTCTTTTAGAAAGGGAATGCCGGGGAATTTTGTTGTTGGGCTGGTCTGAGGTTCTTCGATAATGGTTGCGGTGTCGGCAGACGCTTGCGATTGATCCACATTGACAGCTGGTGCAGGTATCTTGTCGCTGTCCAAGGAACTGCTGCCGACGAACAGATTATCCGAATCCTCTTCCCCGCGTTCTTTCCGAAGGTTACGCAGCGATCTTTGCAGGCGGCAGATGAATCTAATGGACATTTTTCGATGAGACAAACTCTCCAGCAGCAAAAGAAAGCACTTGATTCGTAGTAGTGATAACTGTTTTATGTGCCCATTGGCGAAAAAAGAGCCAGCAATCGCTAACAATTTATGCTGTACATTAATATTCATTGTAATCAGCTTCCCCTTCCACGATTCAACCAAAATTTCGAGCATTCCAAAATACCCCCACCACTTTCTTCCTTTGCTTCCATTCCAATTAAAAAAAAAACTACATTTTAATGACATTTACGATTCATGTAAGTTACTGATGGAAAAGGTTGCGACGGTTTTTTTGACCCATCGTTAAGCTGATGGACGTTGCTGGAAATCTTACGAAGTTTATTAACTTAGGAATGACGCTCAGGTTTACTCCTCTAATATTCATGTCAAGAAAATTTGGTCAGTACTTAAAAATGAAACATTGATCGATACAGAAAAACACGTGTTCGGAAGGAGCTGATCTGTGTGAAAAGGGGAATAAATTACGGACTGAGCTCAGAATTCAGCCAACTTTCTCATGCAATAAAAGGGATGTTCAATTGTAAAAAACTGATTAGATGCAAAAATTAAATCATTCACCTGATTTGGTGGCCGACAGAACGGAAACGTGGGTGCTTCTTTTTTGGTATCTTCAAGAAGTCCACTCGCAAAGAGGATGGTTCGTCCTGCTCAGGATTAAAGGAAAAAGAAAGTGATTTTTTTTTTGCGGAGTGTAATTTGGATCTGGACGAGAGAAAATCGTACGTCTAAGCTATCTTCCCCTGATGCATCTGCAATGATCTGCACGCAGTGATCCCCGGTGCTCCTGCTTGCACTGGCCCATTCACCGTCGGATTCCGGTTGATTCTCGAATCGCCCAACTTCCGGTTGAGTTCGCACGAGGGTTGCGGAACCGGGATTGTTTCTCTCCAAGCTGTTCGTGTGCAGCGGCGGGCTGCGGGAATTCCCTCTCTGCCGACACCGGCTCTGTGTGCTGTTGTGCTTGGCTTCCTCCGACATTCGTCTAGAAAATTTGTTTCCGAACATCACGCACAGAAGCTCAGACCCCGGGGAGCAGTTACCCCCAAGTGCGGTTTCCACACAGTGGAGGAAGAATCCGAAAATTCTGTAGCCATTTCTCCATTTTCTTCGGAATCATTGCATCAAATACTCTACAGCAGTGTTCCCCAACCATTTTTGGCCAGCGGACCAGCAAATTTCCGTAAAATTTCTCACTGACCAGCAAATTCTCAAACAATTTTCTGCGGACCGGCGAAGTTTTTTCTTAATTTTTTGCAGAATCACGAAATTTTTGTTTGAAAGACTTCATGAGAAGTATTTAAAAAATGTTTTTTTTCTAAAAAAAAAATTAAGTAATAACCACCAAAACAGCTATAGTGGAATGTTGACGAAAAATAAGAAAGGTGGACTTGGAGAAAGATTTCTCAGAATGAAAAGTTAAAATAATTAATTTCAGCAGGTGAAATTTTGTATGAAGTGTTGATGAGAGAAAACTTATAGTTTTCATCAGATGCTTTCAACTGCCATTGTCTTTCTTAAATTTCGGATAAAGATAACAGACTTCATTGCCAGTTTCCATGAATTTATTATGCTGAAATTTTCCCGCGGACCGGCAATACTCTACAGCAGATACTGTACTCATATATTCGCAAGATCGTAATCAGGACACGAATGTTATTGACAGCTGGATAAAAATAAATTATAAATGCATAAATGACATCCAAATCTTCGAATTTTACGCTTCAGCGCGTGCACAAGATGTCGCAACTTCGTCGATTCATGTATGTACAGTATGACAGTGCTGTTCTCGTGCGTCGCAACTTCGTCTAAATATATTTATGAAGAGTGCTGATGGGACGTACCCCTATTCATACAGTATATGGGGAGGAAAAGTTACTGAGATGTAACGAAGTAGAATAAGGAATGAAGGGCACGGGCAAACGCGAATAGCCATTTCCCAGTATAATGAATTCAAGATAAACAGATGTCTTGACTCTCGAGCGAAAGGTATTGCGCTATTGCCACAGCTGTCACGCAACATTATTGTGAGAAATTAATTTAATTTTCAAACCACTCTGTAGTCTCTGACAGGCGTATACAGTATTTCTACGACAGAAATCTGAATATCGGCTGATGAAGCATCCTCCGACTAATTAATTGCGCTCAAATCTTGATTCGTTATTGGGCGGAAAATAAGCAACGGCAATTAAAGCGGTTGTCCAGTTCAGTTCAAGCAGCTCAATTCATGCTCGTATATCGACCGTTAATCTCGTAAGGAATTTCGTGAATGTCATTGAACCCTATGTTATTCGAACAGGATGGAACATTCATACTTCAATTACCCATGATATTTTGCACCCGTATATAAGACAGAAATTCGAAGCTCCAGTATTTCTTTCTGTCCTGTGCATTGCTTTGATGCTGTACTACCGTAATTATACGTATAGCGTTTGAGTCATTTTTCGGTTTTAATTTATTTCCGCGCCCTCAGATTCGTTCTTTTTTTTGGGAGGGGGGGGGGGAGGGCATACAGCTTAACCCAGAATAATTCACAAAACGTTACTCACGTCCCACTGCTGCTTGATCGCAGGCTTTCCAGGGACGACGAGGAATCCACGACTGGAGCGGCTCGCGTACGCTTTTTGGGCGACTTCCGCCGCGGTTGATCTCTATCAAAGAGCGGATTTCAAAGATGCAAAGTAACATGGCGACGGGACCAAGGACGAATTACTGCAGCAGACGTGGTGTTTACGATAGGGATTAGTGAGCAAGCTAGTCTACTGTGCCAGGGAGATTTCGCAGTTACCGCTTGTCTCGTTTGGAACTAGCTCCCGTAGATCGCTCCTGCCTCTCCGCGGGTTTCTCGTCAAGCGTTGTCGCCGCATTCTCATGATTTTTGGTCCCAACCGCTTGAGCACTGATCTGCGACTTCCGTACCTTCTCTCGTTTTTTGCCTAATCGACGGTGAGCGGGGATTTTATTCGGTGACGTAGCGGAGTCGGATGGAGCGACCTCTGAACTCGGGCAGTCGTACAACCCGTCGGAGTCCGTGTAGAGAAGCTCTTTGCCGCTCGAATTGAAGAATTGCGGACAGTAGATGAAACACTGTCCGTTCTCGCTCAATGGGCTCTCGCTGCGTGAACTGTTGCAATAATGTTTGCTCAGGTTTTCCGCAGACCCGACTTCACACCCAGCGCATGCGTTGATTGCTTGTGTCGACCTGCGAATCGATTCGCTCTCGCTGACTATTTCCTCGCTGCTGTATGCGTCAATGATAATCGCGGGGATCATGAAGTGTCGGACTCCGTATGACTCAGTGCTTCCTGAAAATAAATACCGTCCAAGTCAGACTTCCCGGAAAGATTACTCTTTAAGATTCCTTATGCTGTCTTCTGCCTTGTTTCCCCGTTATAAATGTTTCCATATGTAGTCTCTATGATAGCGAGTGAGCCGAGAACGGTTTCAAGGCTCTCTTCCATCCTGAATATGTATTATAATTGCTTAAACGAAGCCCTGATCACTTCCATAAGCCATGATATTCAGGAAGGCTATGTGCCCTGTATACTCGGAACAAAGCTGATGCTTGAATTATGAAATCCCTGCTTCTCCCATAGAGCATCTGAAATACCTCCCTCGCTTGATTTCTTTTGATACGTATAATGCTTCGAACAAAGGCTGCTCACAACAACGCTTTCCTCCCCGAAAAGTTTTAACACGCATTCCGAACGAAATTCACAATTTGAGCTTTTCCTCTTGAAATAAGACATACCCTAATGCGATAAGCCAGAGAGTAAGCATATTTCAGGCTACTTAGTTGTCTTGCTTTCAAAAATAAAAACGGTACAGCATTTCCTACGCAAACAACGAACTTCAGCAGTGAAAAACACTTGAACCCGACGAAAATCCCTGGATGTTGTGTTCGGAAGTTTTCAGAAGATTTTCTTCGTAGCAAAACGCGAGATTACATGTAAATTGAATTCAAGAATATTCTGTCGAAGAGAACAATTCTAGTTTTCTATATTCGTCAATAATGCACATGCTGTATTCACACTGCTGAAATCGCAGCACCTTATTTCCAAGTGTATAACTTGAGCCACGATAATAAAATATTTCCGTGGAATTTTGCAAAATGTCACACATTCTATGTTAGCGTCTGTAGCAGCAAAAGTTCGGGTTGCGCTTGTTCAAGCACGGTACCTTTGGATTCGATGGTTTCTTGGTCTTCGTCGGACCCGCATGACTCTTCTGAGATTTTTTCTCTGCTCAGAACGAAAGGTTCTTTCGAAATCCTCGGAGGTTTAGCCTCTAAGTTGTCACTACTGTCTATGGCAGAATCGTGTTCTGCTCCATAATCGGTATCGGTGGTCGTGGCTTCGTCACTACCAGTGATGCGCACGGCTGTTCCCTGTAAAACATGGGCACCACACGTTTTAATAAAGTGGACAAATTCCTGGAAAAATTTCTGTCGCCAAACTTCGAACAGCAATAATTCAAAAATCTTTAAAACTGACGGAAAGCTAAATTGGTTCAAATACAAGCAGCATTTAATCGATTCCAAGCGCTCCGTATTTCTAGCGTATTTCATTTGTCGCGTCATTTTTGCTTTGACTATACCGTATGAATAAAATCTACTTAAGAAATAAGGAGCCAAAATGTTGAAATGGTGATTTCCATCCGTTATGCTATCGTAATGCTATGCTTTCTTATGTACATGTATCTTCGCATATTTGTCAGCGATAGTTTGGCTCAGATTGTCCATCAGCAGTTCAATTACGTTCAGATGATTGGAATCGCTTTTATAGAGCGGTACATTCCTCATTGTGACAATCTTCACCGTTTGAACAACTGGACTAGATCAGCAAAATTGGGTCATACGTTTTTTTCGAACACTTTCTCACAGCTGATAACGAATACGATGACATGTCTCAGGAGATATTGGATATATTTAAAAAAAATTAAAACTCTAACGTGGGGGCCACTTTTGTTACTTACACCCGTCACGTCATCCACTGCACTACGATTAGTCATCATCATAGTTCAGAAACAATGGATCTGAACTTTTCTTTGGCTCAAATTGAGATTTTATGCGTTCATTTTCTTCAAATGGTCTTGAAAATAAGCTTGGAAATTCATGCGAAATTCTTGGACCACCCTGAATGGACATCACCTTGGATTGCAACGCTATCATCGGTATTTCCTCAGTTTTCCTCGTCGGCGATGGTTGTTTGTGAAGAGAGCTGACACGGTAGACGAATGCTTGAATGTGACGGGCTCCCTTCTGTATCCCAGGCGATTCCGGCTCGCAAATCGTTTTCATCGATCCGTTCCGGCTGGTACTTGGACTGGCCATGGAGCTGTAGCCTGATGAGCTTAGATTGGATTCTGACAGGGTTCTTGGAGTGCCACCTGGGAGCGGAGATAAGAACAAGGTCGTGCCGCGTTTCTCGCTCCGCACACACTTGACGCTGCCGTCGCAGGGGTCGGTGTCGTCGGATTCAGCCGTGATCATAATTTTCGGCGGGCTCGGGCCGCCAGTGTCTACCTCTATGGTGATTGGTGGTAGGTCGAAGGTGACCGAGTTTTTGCGCTTTTCCTGACCTGGAGCAACTGGTGACTTCATTGCCGCGCTTGATCCTACATTCTGTACAGGCGGTGTTACTGGACTCTGGAATGAACCAAATTCTTGAAAATTTTCGGGAAACCGACGATTTCTATCTTTGAAGATGCCCCTCAGTTTGTTGGCGTTGAAATGTGTTCAGATTCAAGCATCAGTCCTTCCGAGGACAATCACCGCGCGTTTCTTTTTTTTTCGTGTTTTTTGAATTATGGGGTGTCTTGAATTTCTGTCGAGATTGGACCTGTCTTTGACATTAGAATCAGATAGAAGAATAAGCTTGCAAGGATGAAGGCAAATTTATGCATTTTAGAAAAGGTATGTGGTCTTTTAATGATGACCATTCATTTAGATGCAGGCAACCGACGACATGTAATTGATGTCGACTTTTTTCTTTGTTCTCTTCACCTGAACGATTGAATTCTCTCAAGCTTGTTATTTTATTTTCACCTAGATGTCACTAGATATTATGCATTTTATTTAATTTGCCGTCGATGTTGAATGACCAACAAAATGGTCCGATTTGGAGAGATATGTGATAGTGACACTTATTCGATAGTTCAGAAAATTCTATCGGGCCTTAAAGTGGAAAACAAAATTCCTTCTAAGTTTTGACGACTTCAGCGTTCTTAGTTTTATTTTTATACCGCAACTTCTTCAGGGAGGGCATTTAATTTTATCAAAGCGGTAATATATTTTTAAATGCGACGAAAAAAATGGAAGTAACACACGAAATTGCCGGCCAAAGTTCTTTTAATTCGAATGCTTGAGTTTTCTAATGTATCTTGCTGCACGAATCAAATGGCCGAGAAAAAACTAAAACTTGATTACAGTATTCGTGATACTGCAGTAAAAAGATGCTTTCAACTTGATGAGACGTAACCGCGGAAATCATTATTTCAAGGGACACAACCTTTTTCCAACAAAAGCCTGAACAAATTTTCAGCCATCTTTACATTTTGAAAAGCAATACATTGGGGTAAATTACAGATACCCTAAAATTACTCATGTGTCAAAAGCTGAATGAAGCTCGTTTGGGTTATTCATAAGTCCAGCTAATAGCTAAAATGACGTGTGCTGCGAAGAGTCTTTCGGGTTCGACGTGTAGCGAATGTCGATTGAATTCAGCGCTTTTCAGGGTACGGAGAGTCTAGGCTCCTCTGTGTAAATTATAGATTTCGTCAAGGACCATATGATCTCGAAACAAGCCTGACACCAACAGACATGAAAAGGTCCCGGAGAACTGAATATTCTGGTGGTTTCATCAGTGTTGACGGCGGGTTATAAAATAAAGGGAAATCTACGCAATATTTTCTCGCCACTTTTAGATTCAAATCGTGAATCCTTCCTGAAGTATTATACTGTGTCAGAAGACAAAGTGCCTTCGCTATCCGTTTCTGGGAATAGTGGGAAACACGAATGAAAATCATTTCTCAGAGGACAGGCCTGATGCTACCGCTGAAATCACTTGTATACTGTCGCCATATTCTCAGAAATACCGTCCGCGACACGGAGGTTGAATCGTTTCAAGCGCTCGCCTGGCACGTCTCATTTCGCAGCATCTGTATAGACCCCATTCCGTGACTCTGTCACAGCCAACATTCAACACATTTGATGAGATTTTGGGAGCAGAGCGAAATTCATCAGCGGACCTTTAGAATATTGACCCGCTCGTGAAAGGTTCCCATTTTATTTTTACAGCGAAATAAAAAATAAGCGCTTGTTGGTAGGGCAGGGGGTTTGTTCCATCAGCTACAACCTACAAGTGCTTATTTTGGGCGTCATTCGGGTAGCGTCATGTTTGAGGGAACACTTGATGAACTTCGTCGGATGGTCGTGCATTGAGGTCCTACTGAGCCGGGTACATCAAGTGCGGGTTGAGACGAATTGGGAGTGCAAAGTCATGCAATGATCTGAGTTGCAATGCTGTCACATCATCTGATTTACTTGTGCGGTACTGTAATACGCACTCGGCTTAGTTCCCAGCTCTCCAAGCTCACAAAATATCGGGCATGACAGGGGTTTCCGATTAATGCGGGAAGTTGGGCAAAAAACATGTGAAACCATTTGTTTTTAAAATTTCTCGTCAATTGTACTATTTTGTCACATTTTTTTACTTACTCACCCATCAGAATACAGTACATCTCTGCCCGTTTGATCCAAAAATCGCAGCATTTCCATATACAGTATGCAGATACTGAAACTTTTTTAAACCTTGAAATTGCTACTTCTCATACTGTATGCCACTTTCAAACCACTGTAGATTAAAGGCCATGTTTAAACTTGATTTTACTCTAGAAAATCTAGATACAGTACATTAAATTTTACTGAGACTTGGGAAACATTTTGAAAATATCTCCACTCTGAATTCATGCATTGATAAATGGGCAAAAGATTAATGCACTTTAATGGTTGCTGGTGTACTTGAAACCACGGGAAGAAAAAACTCAGCTGGGTGGACAATTCGAAAAAAAATCACCTAATCTGACGCTTTATCGAAAAACTGCATGAAAAGGGTATTGTACTGTACTGTATATAAAACTCGGACTGTACGCGGGAATCAGACGTAGCTTGATTACGGTACTTGTTTAATGCACCTGATTTCCCTTTTCAATTGTTAGTCTCCCGCGCTTCCCTGCAAGAATTTCCAATCAAAGGTTAACTATAGCGAAGGTTATCGATATTTGCATATAGACAAACAAAATTTGCATTAGTATACCCGTACACAGTAACGTATATCTTCTTCCACTTTCGAAGTAAAAGTCTGATATGTACGTGGCTCTTCGAAAATGCCAATCTCATTGATGATCTCTGTATGCATACTTAAACCAGATGGAGGACGTTGGGTTCCCGCGCGGATCCTGGGAACAACAAATATGTCCAGATTCCTACACATTTGTTTGCTATTTTTAAAAACATGCATCGAGTTCTTATCGTTTTTATGCATATCGAGGCATCATTTGAGAATAATCGGAACCATATTCATTAGTCATCCATTCAGATTCGGAATCCGCTCGATACAGCCATTTAAACCTTAGTTGACATTTATTCCTGGAAAACCTGGCGGAAAAGCTTTGATCTAAATATTTTCAAGTACCCTATATTTTTGCGTTGAATTCTCCACCCTCGTGGAAACCAGATAACCCGTATTTATTCGAATGCAGTACTGTATAAAACAGAATCGATTGTAACGAGTAGCGCGCCCGCAATGGTACGTACAAGGAATTTTTTTTTGGCTTTGGCATTTTTGCAGCATTTAGTGGAGTGGTCAATTTTATGATCATACTGTGATTAACCGCTTGATTTTTGCAAACAATTTCAATATAAATCAACGCGACGAATTCGCGCTTTCAAATGCACAATTCAAACTGTCTTAATTTAGTTGAATGTATTACGAGATGGTATAATTTAAATTAAAACAAATGAAGCATAAATACTATTACCAAATAGTGTATGTATGAATTTGATCACGAGACATTTTTAATTCCACATTTGAATCCATAATATCTAATAAGGACTCGATAACATTCTTGACACCATCGAATTGAAGGCTTCGTCGAATGTAAGACGCACCCTTCTTCTCAAAACGAATTTCTTTAAATTTCTACTCGTCTCATTTATGTAAAAACTGAAATGAAGTATAGATAAAGAGATTATCTGGGACTAAGAGGGAGAAATTTTGGGCTGGAGAGAGGAGTCGGAGTTTACTATACAGTAGTTGCCGGTTTATTGTTCAAACCAGTGGATGAGTGAAGCATCGCAAAGGTCGGGACAGGGAGTGAAGTACCTGCGTTTCTAGTTCGCCAGCAGCGATTTTCGCCAGAGTCGCTCGCGGAGTCCCAGGGGGCGTGGAAGGTGTGATCATTAAACAGGGGATGTCGGCGCTTTCTTGGGTGTGAGAGGACCTGTTGTGCGAAGCAGCACCGGATTCGAGTCTCACACTGCCCTCACTCACGACGAAATTCGTGCCGTGCGGGAAATCTAGACTCTGCGACCTCGACCTGGGAGCAGAATCAAAAGGAACGTACAGTTTCACGGACCCTGGGTCATCTTGGCTCAGCGCCGCCGTCGAGTTAAGCCCGGGGGAGCTGACGACGAGCGGCGGCGGTTTGGACCTCGACGGGCTCGTCACGACGATTGACGGGATGGCGGCACCAGCGTCACCAGCGGTCTCCGACTCGGAGCTTTTGTCGGAGTGATTCGCGCCCTTCTTCATCGACGCCGCGGGCATCTTCACGATGACGGAGTCGGACTCCGTGTCATCGTCACACAGCGTGTTCTGTCTAGATGGAGTCGGTGATCGTCCGCGCACACTGACGGTGCTCAGTCGCCGAGGTGTCGGGCACGGAGAGATCATCGGCGTCGGGACTTCCTTGATGGGTGACAACGGGAACGACATGTCGCCTTCGTAGTACTCCAGCATGATGTGGCCTCCAGAAGGATGACCGCTGTAGTGTGGCACTAGCAGGGAACCAGCGCTTAAGACTCGTTGGATAGTCACCACCGGCACCTCGACAGTCTTTGGATCACACGATTCTTCACTGGACGATTCTCGACGCGGTGACCCGGGACTCGGTGGTTTGGCTGTCAGGGATGAGGAACTACCTTCCCTTTGCAAGCTATTGCCTTGTGAGTTGTTTTGACAGAATATGTGACCTGTCGGTGATCCGGGTGTCGAGATCGGAGTCGGAACAGCGGAAGAGTCGTCTGCTTCGGATCCCATAGGGCTCGCCAAACTTGACGAAGATCTCCGGAAAGGCTTCTTTCGGAAAATTGAGAGACTCAGCACAGAGTCATTGCTGTCGGCCCTTGGCCTGGCGTTTTTCCCATTGTCCTCCTTGAAAAAAGCACATAAACCAGCAATGTACAATATATCTGGCTTGCCAACATTTCATTTCCTTAACACTCAACCAAAAATGATTCCAGTATTTAACTTTGATTCACAGCGCAAAACCACTTCACAAGCACAGTTATGGACTCAGGAAGAAATATGTGAGCTTTCTTTGGTAAAATCTAATGGTGCCATAATGCTGGTAGAACAGCACACGACACTGGGAACTCGTGCAGCAACAAAACATCTTTATAATTTTCGATGGTTTACTGTTATGGGTGCGTACATTTATGATCAAAACATGGAAATCTTTAAAGAGAGATAGAGACAGAGAGAGAGAGAGAGAGAACAGCAATAGAACCGAGAAGAATACTGTATAATATTCCTTATTGGCTGGAAGTAACCAGCTGACAACGCATAGGTTTCTGACACACAGATAATTTTTTCTCTTTTTTGCCCGAAGTACAATGTTATTTGGAAGCGCAGCAGTTGAAAGCACAGCAGTTGAATTACACTGGGAAGGATTGTTTGAGTAGTTCCCTGTCTTTCAGATACACGATTTTTGATTAATATATCTTAATATGATGCATGATGAAAGACGAAAGTCAGTCAACACTGCATCACCCTATTCCATTCCTCCCCCCCCCCCCACAGGTCTGGTGATCGATGTGAGCACTAGTTTCAGATTAACATGGAGCCTAAAAATTGACTGAAGCTTTCAACAATCACCAGCTTCGGCCCTTCGGGTTAATTTTCAAAATTGCACTGATACCTCGAGGGAAATTATAAAAGATCTTTGCTCTCAAACCGTACGGCCGATGCTCTGAAGGCTGACATTATTATTTATGTGCGTGGTGGAGAAATCGGGCCAGTGAAAAAACATTTTGGGGCAGGAAATGATCTAGAAAATATATTTCAATGATCTTTTAATTTAAACGGCTCCATGCGGTCTAATAGAATTTGGCATGATATTGTTCTTTTGAAAAATTGGACTGCTCACAGATGAAACACCCATGAAAAAAAAAACTAACAGAAAAGCCAGGAGACTGACAATTTCTACATTTTAGTCAACTAACTTGAACTGAATCGGAGCTGTTCCCGGAAAGGAATCGCGACTTTTTCCCGAAGAATTTATCCCGTCTGCGAGGAGTGGTCACGTCTAGAGTGGACACGTTGTCAGAACTGGAGACGTCAGCATTTCGATCCTCGGACACGCTTCCCTGGCGACGGAAAAACCCCTTCGTTCGATTCCGTCCACCACCGAATCGGAACTTCCGGTGTCTTCTGTGTTGCTGGGTTTGTAGAGGCAAACCCGGATTTGACGGGCTCTGGCCGGGCTTGCTGGCCGCTGGGTCTTCTCTTGCGTCACCGGTGCTCTCCGTCTTCCGCACCCGTTCTTCCGTTCCACTGCCTTCGAACTCCGAACTTGATGACGTCATTTCTTTGCAGACCTGGAAACGACACCCACGCTTTCAATATGTATTCCTTGAATTTTCGCTGAAGTCATCGCCAAGTTCAAAGGTTTAAAGAATCGGACACGAGCTCACGTGAGGGCTAATGCCAATTAAACCAAGCATTTTACGCGACTTAGAGGCCTATACTGTTCAGAACATGAACACATTATCTTGATGAAAATTGCAAGTATTGCACCTCCTCACGCCAACGATGCCGTGGTACCCCATACAACGAAGCTCTGTGTTCCAACATGCGATTTGTTACGTGAGGATATAATGTGTTTCCCTGCACAGTACAGTACACATGAAGTGGGAATCCTGCAAACCGATTTGTTCCGCCAACTTGAAAGAGATCACGTTGAAAATTGGAAACAAATTTTAGGAAAGCTCCTGGTGATTCGGATTCCTGCATCAGTGGGTCTCGTGTGTATCAACGGAACAGTTTAAAGACATATTTCTTCAACGCGCATCGGAAAAAAAAAAAAAAAAAAAGTTTGAGGCTCAACACCCTTCGCGGGAGTGATTGGACTATTCCCGGTTTTCGGGGTTCCAAGGTCCAATCCAGGCACGCGTTTGTTTATTTATGAAAAATCTTCGCTAAGCGACTGTTGGCATCCCAGCCCATGACCTTGCCATTGCTTGAAAAGCACACTCCCGTGATTCCTAATTGGTTGTTTCCTGTAAACGATTCTTTCGTCAATACCTCCCATCGTCAAATGTATCCAAGATTCGTCCCGATTTTCTGGAACTATGGCCGCCCTTTTCGTGGAAGGCCACTTCGCATTCGGGCAGGATAAGTAAAGCTGCCCAACATCACTGACTCTGAGATATAATCAGTTTTTAGCATACGTATATCCGGCGAAACCCTGTGAGGACGTGCAGCGTGTCTAAGAAACTTCTGACTCTTGAAAGGAAAATGTCCATCTACATGAAAATGTGGAGGTAGGATAGTCATTGCCAATTCTCTACAACGATATTGTCTACAACAATCTTCTTTATACTGTATATCAAATTAGTTTTTGGTTCATAACGTTTTCTACCCACGTTAAAGGGGTTCTATGCAACGAAATTCTGCCCACAAAGATTTTTTCCGGTTCCTTGAATTCCTTTGCAGAACGAGTCCACATGTATAGTATGCAAAGAAATTTGTTGCAGAGAGAGTTCGCCTGTAATCTGTTTATTTTTACATCAAATTAGATTCCATTTGTGTCGTTCGGCTTTCTGGGGAGAAACAACGTTGCTCCTGCATAGTAGGTATAGGTTGATAACCTTGTAAAATCACTAACTGACGAAATTGACGTCATGCGATTCTCTGATTCTGATTGGAGGAATACCCACTTATAAAATATCTTTGGCACGGAGATTTGCGATCGACCGAAAAGAAACGCGCAGACCTAAAAATAAACAGTCATACTCTTCGATATTTTACTGAAGACCTCTGTTTATCCGGACTATGATTAATTCAGCGTTTCATCAACTGTGTCTAAATTTAGATTACAACACAACATTCGATTTTCCTGGCATGCACCCGGTAATCAGACGGGCAATCGAAGTTTCCGTGTGCAGTATTTCCAGTGAAGCAAGGCTGGTGCCATAGGTTGCTTCCCGTATATGTGTGTTTGACAGCAGCCACGGCAAAGTCTGCCTCATTGATAAATTAGGATAATTCCACAGGATTCACTCACCGAAACACAGAAAATTTTCTGGAAGAGGTATGGTCTCAATTCACTTGATTTTTCATAGGATAGGAGAACAGACGAAGGTATAAATAAGGTGCATGCAAAAATGACTGCGTGGAAAAAGGCGCTGACCTGATTTACCATTTTCGCAAATGTAACCCGTCGCTCGAGCTTGGGATCTAGTTCGGCATTGGGAACTGTTACTTTGATACGGCGATGAGTCTGGGGACCTGTTGCTGCCGCGGGCCCGTCATTGGACTCGACGCTGTCGTCGTGGAAATACACTTCCACGTCAGTTTCCGCCGGGCTTCTCGGCCTCAGCAATATCTGCAGGCGCTCTCCCAGATGTGCGAGCTCCTCCATGTTGAAGTCTTCGGGTTCCAGGTCCGTTTCGTTGTTCCCACCTCGATCGGAAGTGGCCCCGTCCACACGGGTAACACTGGAGCCGAGCAGCGACTTGAGGAGCCGCTTTCGCTCCAAACTGTCCATTTTCCCGGAATCGCCGAGCTTCGCGTGCGACAGACGGCGAGGCGACGGGGTTCCTGGGTTTGCATATTTCATTAGCCCACCACCCACCACCGAGAAATACTCCTTGAATTAAGCGCATGCCTCGGAGGCAGCAATGGTGTTTTACATCCAAATATACGAGTATTTTCGGGAGCGACATGGCCGGAGTCACTATTCTGTGTGTGAACCTCGTTTCTCTGTCGTCTTTTCAGATTCCCAAACAACGGACACTAGGATCAACTCAGTCTGAAAACTCTTCCACGAAGGGAATCCTCATGCATGCAAATGTCTCTTCCCGATTAACCTTTTTATAGAACAGATTTTAAATTCACCCGATTATAGGCCCAGCAGGATCGTATAACCCGAGTTTAGCTGGCGATTTGAAAAACAAAACTATACAGGCCGTACGCATATGCAATTTTTGAAATGCATTCGGGTTATGCACAGGAAAATCTTTTTGTTTTGTTTCTCCAAAATATGACATGTAGTTAAAATAATGAACTCATTAATAGGCCAAGTTTCGATAAGAACAAGAGACTTTTTCGGTACAAGAAGGAGATGATATACTGATATAATAGGCTTTAGAATACATTTTTAAACTAACTTCATGTATGCAGCGTGATCTCGAGTATCAGCCAGCACTTACGAATTTTTTGGGTGAACATTTTTGAAAAAAAAAGAAGCGACTTGAAAAAACTCAAATAATGTGACATGGAAATACACCGAAGAATTTAAGGAAAAGTACTGTACTGTATATAGTTTAAGGTGAATCCGAACTTGAGAAGCATTAAGAATTTATTGGAACGACAGCGTGCATACAAACGCAATTTCCTCGTTAATCATTCTGCATTTTGGGTCAACTTAGAAAGCTAAGCTCATCATCATAATGAATAAAAAGTACGTTTATCATTCTTGGAAAGCTGAAGGTTCTTGGATGCGTTTTCCATATAATTTTGTATCTCGGCTTGATCATCAGTGTACAATAGTGCAGAAATATATTTTAAATCGGCGGATTTGCATCCGATTCTAAGAAAATTCTCACGAATATTTTAAAATTGCGCAGCCATATACGAGCTCCGCATTATACTGTACAGAAAATGATGGCATTTTTTTTTACTATTAGCCAGAATTTCCTCCTTTGAAGCTGCCTCCGAGAGTTTAGGAGCTTATAATGCGTCGAGTGAAGTATTTACTGGATGATCGTCTCAAGAAGTCCTCAAAGCTGAAACTTTGATTCGGATCTTTGGTTCCAGGACTCGAGGCATTCGATGAAAGGCTGAGGATCGACGGCTTCCGAAAGCTGAATCTGCTCATCAGCTTTCGGCGATTTCCGGGGCTCGCGGACCCTTCCAGCACCGGAGTATGCGTCCCCTCTGCACTCGATCCCAGCATAGTAATTTCTCGCACAGAAGACGCACGGCTAATCTCACAGCTCGTATTTCCTGTCGACACATAATGTAGGAAAAACAGTAAGGAAAATTTTAGTCTCCTTTCCGCAGCTCACTGCCGGAAATGCTGATTGTCAGACATTTCACGTTTTCTGGTTGATTTTTAAAGCTAATTATCCGCACTGCAGTGAAACACGCGGTCATACCTTGCACATTTTGAAGTTATTCGGTATGAGTTTTATGTAGAGGGGATGATTTCCACTTGTGCACAAGATGCATAATAAACCTTCTCTCCATATTGGAAGAAACCAGCGCCAAGAACAGACATCTCATGTTGGCAATTTGATCATATGTTGGATTTGTGTCAGAACATATTACAAAATTTCGATGAAATCTAAATTGTATGAAGAAACTCGTCAAAAAATATATACATGACCCGTACATTTTTGCTTTAAAAAAAAAAACGGACATTTTCATTCTGGATGCCGAATATAAACGCAGGTAAAACTCTGCTTCGAATAAGGACTATTTTATATAACTGTTTGAAACAATAGGAAGTTTTGTTGCTGTCCAGTTTCCGAGGACCAAACGAAAATGATTTTTATTTTACTTAAGTTTTTATTTAAAACTTTCAACCGCAAAATTTGAAAGAATTTTTTTATGAAATCCCAGGACACCATCTTGTGACCTCAACAAGTTTCCAAATAATAATAAAACGATTGTCCAAGATTAAGGTATTGTACTCACAAAATCGAGCAGAATGCACGCATTTTCGAACGGAAATACAGTATTTCATAGTACAGTACTGTATCGCAGAACAAAGGTGAGTTGGGCAAGGCCAACCGACTCGCCAGTTTTTATCTTTTCTCAAAACGTTCAGTTTGGGCAATGATTGTGGGCAAGCTTTACCTGTATATTTGCTCTTCTCTATTTGCTCCGACATGAGTTTGTCAAGTTTATCTGCGAAGCGTCGTTTGATGCACCATACTGAGCTTATTATGGCCAAGACTGAGCACACTGTGATCATCCCTAGCCAGAAGGGCTCTTCCAGCATTCGCTTGGACAACGGCTTATACGAGATCCGGAGTACTTCCCGTTCGCACAGATTTCCTGCAAAGTTCAACATAAAAACGGATCTATTTCATCCGAACGAAAAGAATATTTTCTTTCAGTAAATACGTTCGAGGGAATTTGTATGGATCACAATCGTTATTGGAGGGAAACAGCCACCGCATTTATTCAAATATGAGTTCCCCCTTTTTTTTAATCAAAACTGGTTCTAAAAATTAGTCTGCTTCTCGTATCACATGGGGTCTTATATTTGATGGGGGCTGAGATTCCATGGGTTATTGGATTCGAGAGTCAAGTCCACGCTTCCCAGTCCAAAAAACTCAAATTTCTAGAGAAAAATAAATCCTGAACTGTAATTTAAAAAAGCTTCATTGCAGTACCTTGATACTTCACGACAAGAGACTGCACATCATGCAAAAAGGTGCTATATTTCAAGCAAACGTACAGTATTAGATTTAAATGGTCCCATCAGCAGTCAACCAAGAAAGATACTGTACTTTACTTCTGAATGTTCTTTTAAATGCCTCATAACTAGATAGGAGATTGTCAGACAATAAGATAAGGCATGAAGGGGAATTCCTGAGTGTGCGGATGATTTTCCCAAAAAAAGAATTATTATTGGAATTGGTCTGAATAGAAACTGACTGAATCTTGAGCTCTCAAAGAAAATGAAGTCCAACACGGCGGAGAAAAAATTAAGGATCGGTCATGTGGGAATCGATTTCTCCCGGCACTCGAATATCATAGGAGTTATACAAGTACTGTACTGTAACATTCAGACAATGACAGTGTTCGTTCTTTTCCATAGATGTAACTTGAATTGAGTGATCCCGAGTTCTTAATTATTTCAAAATTTCCATAAAAATCAACCTCACACTCAGATTCCCAACAAATGTGAATTATGAGGTGTCTGCTCAAGTTAATTTCCAGAACCTTTGATCTTTCTTTTCTCCATCTGTGATGAATTTCATTTCTGTCATTTATGTACCTGTGATACTTTTCAGTCTTTGAAAAACCTGACTCTACACAAGGAACATCACGCGTACTATATCACACAGGTGTCCAAGTACCACCAGTGGCAAGCTCACCGCTGGTTGAGAGTATGAAGCTACGCATCTATCGCGGTTTTCAACAGCTGTTCCGCGTGTTCCTACATTTGAGTTATTTTCGCGGAATGCAAGACAGGTAGAACTGTATCGTGAAGAGATTCTTACCATCCCAAGGCGGACGACACTTGCATTGAAAGCCTCCGTCGTCGAGGTCCGTGCAGTTCCCGCGATGTTGACAGGGGTTCTTGAGCAGACAAGCCCCGATCTTCGTCTCGCATAAGACGCCGGTGAATTCCGCCGGGCAAGAGCACCTTCGGGCAAAGGTACGTCGTCAGCCATTGCGAAACCTTCGGAGGGGGGGGGGGGGGGCAGACAAAAAAAAAACGAAGGGGACTTACGAGGGGGGGGGGGGGGGGGGGGGGGGGGGGGGGCAGACAACATAAAAACGAAGTGGACTTACGTGAAAGAGCGCGGCAGAGGCACGCAGGTGCCCTGATTCCGGCAAGGGCTTATCTCGCATTGGCGACTCTGGCAGAAGAACCCTGCGAAAACACCGGATTTGCGCGACAAGTCCTTCACTCGGGTGCTCGCATTACTCGTGATTACGGTGCCAGGCGGCGGGTTCAGGACGCGACAGAAGGATACTTCACGGCTGGGAGCCGGGGGATGTGCTCCACGGGATTAACAAGCATGCATCTCGAACAGTAAGCGCGGCAACATCGGATATCGCCAGTCCAAATCCCGTTCGTTAGACAAGGAGCGCAACTATCTCAAGACATGTGACTATGCAGAAAATTTGCGTATTTTATTCAGCCCCCCCCCCCCCTCCAGGATTCGAGACCAATTCGCGAATACCATTTAGAAACGTTCAGCTTACGAGCCACGGGTATTTGAAGCAATCGGAATACGGAAGAATCATCAGAGCTAAATGACTGAATGCTCTTGCTTGGATGACCAGCTTCAACTCTTAGTAGAATACTTATAAATTTTTGTCTACATTCGATGCTGAACAAAATTGAAGCATTTGTGACCTGATGACACTTCTGACATTCCGTGAAAATTTTAAACGCGCTATTTCTTCAACCACTGGGAAATAAATCTGCTAATATGAACTTAAAACTTCCAGATATGTGGGCATTTTTATTTTCTCTCAAGGAATCGGAATTTTGGTCGCGGTTAACGTGGCTATTACTTGAGTCCGGATTCCAGGAGTTCAACACGTCAGCAGCTGGACGATTTGTCTAAAGAAATGCTCAGGAAAAAAAAGGACAATGGGGCCCCAACATACGGACGTCCCCAAAATTAGGACGGTTCGAATTAGGGACACTAAACCAAACAAATATGCCCCTGCATCCAGAATATCCAGATAATATCTCGAGCAGCGTCCACTTTTCCAACGTTTAAAGATACATAGAAACAATTTCTTTCTCAAACTTTTGATATCGATCAAATTTATCGATGCATACTCACAAAAATTAAAAATAATTTCATTTTAATTTTACTCTAATTCATAATCAAAAAATGCTAATTTTAAACTTCTCTCAAT